CTGTAGTCTTTAAACTCTGTAATATCAGTGGAACACTTGTACTGAGAAAATACTGAAAGATACCTAAAGATAGGAAATAAATAACATTGTTTATAAATAACAATGTTGCCATAGAGACTGTGGAGGTTCAGTCTCCACTTGAGGCACATGTCAAATCCACAGACAAAATTGAACATCGTTCAGCTTCCACACCCTCGAGTCATGAGGAGCAAATTGCATAACATACCCTGTCAACCAGACCAATGCCAAGTATTTGTCTACAGAGACTCATCTCATACCCTATTAGGCCATTAATATTTGTTATGGTTCTCATCTTCAATCATAAACAGCATGGTATAGACACTAAAAATATATTAAAAATCTTTATTTTTTCAATATTTGTGAACATATTTGTTGAAATTCTAAAATTTAGTGGCTTAATAATAGTTTTAAAATTTTTATTTTATGGTGCACATCAAGCTGCTTTGTTATGAATGAATAGAATCAAAGTTATATTCCATTTCATTGGCAAACCATCACCCTTTCAGGTCAATATGAAAAGGGAAGTAACTCTTCAGTAGACCAACCCAACATCCTGTTAGAAATTAATCCAAACTTAATACATGAAGCCAAACCAGTTGCTGAACTTATAATCTTATTGGCCACAAGACTGCATAATCAAGCTAATAAAAAAATAAAATAAAAAAAGATCACTGAAAATACAGCGTTCTGTTACACAAAATATCTAAATTCTTCACAAAATTCAAATACAAAATATGTTACATAACACCAATTGCATAATGTAATACATGACATTTATCATGTTTTCTACAATATATATTACTGTTGATGAGTGAGTGAGTTGGGTTTAATGCTACGTTTAATGCTACGTAAACAGTATTCCAGTTGTGTCATGGCGTGTCAGCTTAATGTGGGACGAAAAACCGAAGCTATACAGGGCTCCGATATTTACCTCTTGCTGGAACCCATGACCATGGGTATGGTGCAGACAAACCATGAATAATACCATAGTAAACCTGGATTCAAACCCACGATTGCTCCCTAGCTGCTCACAGACCTGTCAATGTAAACGTAGTAAAGACCCAAAGTGTTACAGTGAGTGAGTTTAGTGTAACGCCACTTTTAGCAATATTTCAGCAATATGGCGGTGGACACCAGAGATGGGCTTCACACACTGTACCCATGTGGGGAATTGAACCTGGGTCTTCTGTGTGCTGAGTAAACGCTTTATCCACTAGGCTACCCCACTGTCTCCATTGTGATAGAGATGCTATTAGCTTATCTGTACACTAGAAATCGTCAAGAAAAAATGGTACTGACACCAAGTTGTGTTTAATGTGTGGTACCTCCAGGGAAAGACCTTTCGTCTACATGATATCAAATCACATGTCTAAACCAGCTTAATTACCTGTTTCACTGGTTATTATACATAGGTGAAAAGCAATAAAACATAAAAGTCACCTGAAATTAAATGAATTGATGTTTTAATTTATTACTGAATGTCCTTAATAACATATTTTGTGACAACATCCACAATTCTTATGTTTATTATGTTTTCAGGTAAACTTGGTGTGAAATATTTGAATAAGCTTCAGAAAACATAGCGAAATGTCAAAGAAGCTAAACAACACAATAACCTCCCAAAAGCGATTATAAATTTTACAAACAAATTCAGACTTGGAAAATTAGCAATTAAATGACTTAGTCAAATACATATAAACTTAAAGTCAATAGAACAACTAGTAGAAAGAACTGACTGAGTTTGGTTTTACGCCGCTTTTAGCAATATTCCAGCAACATCACGGCGGGGGACACCAGAAATGGGCTTCACACATTGTGCCCATGTGGGGATTCGAACCCGGGTCTTCGGAGTGACGAGCCAACGCTTTAACCATTAGGCTACCCCCACCGCCCACTAGTAGAAAGGAAACATGTTATCAATACAAACACAATAAACAACTTTCATATCAAACTCAAAAGGACCACTAATTATAGTTTGTTGTACATATTTTGACAAAAATATACTGGAAGCTGACAGGAATGAAAAACAGCTTGCTATATCTGCTAGTTTGTTATAAACAGTTTGTAATTAATGCAGTTAACTGTATTGGGGTTTTGCATGATAGGATACATCTGAATAACAGTGATACATGATACAAGAACAAGAGATACATGCATTTTAACAACTTGTTATATATAGGAATCATATTCTTTCATCACAGGAATGACAAAGGAGACTAACATTCAACTTGTCGTCTGAATAAAGTTCATTTCTTGCACTTTGAATATATGGAGGTTATGACATACCTTACTACGCATTTGACTTCTGAAGAGACTACCTTTCATAGATATCTAAGTACAAATTCAGGTAAGGTGTTTTCCAGAAGTAATGGAAAAATGAAATCCTTAATAGAATTGTTGGAATACGTTACGCGAGTCCAGTTTTAGCAACTGAATTTTTGCAAACTCATCATAATCAGGAGGACTGTCCGCCACCATGTAAGTATATATCGCCAACCACCATTGATCATATGTTACACAGTCGTAACTCCTATGATTTAATTGATTTACGCAGTCAAAGCATGCGATGGCTTTGTGAACGAGGGCCTGGCTTGTAATTCACATTCTGATTGCTAGGATTATACCCTAATATCATAACCAATCACTCTGGCAAAATGGAAAATAAACCGCAGGTAAATTTGAAATTGGGTAAGCTCAGTTCTAGGGATACAGAGAATGGTGTGCGATGACCAAATCAATCACTAAGACTACCGCCTATCTACACATCATACCAAAGTCTTTGTGTCCACAAGCAAGGATTTCCATTGTGGCTCAGCACCAATACTATCACCAATGAACATTAATGTTCTCAAACAATGCATCGTCTTTTGTAATTCTACAAGGCCAGTGACCAATTTTATTTCTTTAGTTTACGAATTTTTTTCCTCAGAAACCTTAATGGCAGCAGGAAAAAAAAAAAAATATAAATCATTAGTCAAAAGTAACATTCCTTTTAAATACTAAAAATTGTTTTACTTTTGGCAATTTATGGGAAGTGTTTAAGGGCAAAATTCAATCAAAACATTTTTTTTGTTGTAAGCTTACATTTTGGCCAATAAAAACATTAGATTTTATTTTTGAGCCGGGAAATTTTTTTTAAATTTTGTTTCTTACCCTTGAAAACAATGCACTGTGGATCCTTTAAACAAGAAAATAAAATTGGTCTGGCCTTAATATCAATTATTTGTTCACGTTTTTTTTCTTTGTAACGAGTAGCGCATCTGAACCTAGATTTAAGCTGAGATCATTGAGTGAATTTTAGTTTTAGGTCAACTTAGCAATATTCCAGCAATATGGCTGGGGACACCAGAAATGGGAACAATCTGAACAATTTATTTTCAAATTTCAGACAGCAAGGATTGGAAATTAGAGAGAAACACATGAGCTTTTGGGCAGATTCTGTTATTTAGTGGCAACCAAGAAGCTGCATGTAAACTGGTTCTTGAAAAGTTTGTTATTCACATATTTTTACATCAATGTAACCTGTAATGTAATGAATTTTAAATCTATGTACTCGTCATCGAGCCTCATACTCGCAATAACACCCGCGGATACAGGTTAGTATAGATCTTCAGCAACCCATGCTTGTCGTGAAGAGGTGATTAACAGGATCTGGTGGTCAGACTCGCTGACTTGGTTGACACATGTCATCGGTTCCCAACAGTGCAGGTCGATGCTCATGAAGCTCTTGATGTTCTGGATTGTCTTGGTCCAGACTCAATATTTTACAGACGCCGCCATATAGCTGGAATATTGCTGAGTGTGGCATAAACTAAACCACTCATTCACTCACTGCATGCCGAACTACCATACCGCGATTGCTGTATCATCACACCATTACTTAGCAGAAAGTTGAATAGAAAGGAGGAGCAGTAATTTTGGGATGATAGGACATTAGTGATTTTATTTTTACCCAATACAAAATTACTTTCTAGTCAAGAAAACATAGATGAGTAACTTGCACAATCACTTTTACACAAAATAAAAACAAACAATTGTTTAGCTCTGGCGCATATACTGCACAACATACAGCTTGCATACATATTCTAACCACGGATTTGACGGTAATCACAGTCTTGCACAATCATCGAAGATTATTTTCTTAACATTTAAGGAAGTAAAACAAAATATTTTTGGACTGGAATATATTTTCATTATTTTACCCTATGGCCCTGATGTTCCTAGGCTACAAATCTGTAATCCTGAATCACACTTTGTAAATGTGCCAAGCTATGGGTTTGTCGAGAATGCCAGGTTCTCCATTACCTGGTGTGAACTCTGTGGTATTTGGAAACCGTCTACGGATCATTACCTCTTTTCTGAATATGAAACTGTCTAACACAGAAATAAACATAAACACATCTGAGTTTAAATGATGTCCATGTTAAACATAGCAAAATAAATCAATAATATTTTCCGCTTCTGCTGTTACTTCTATGACAAAGGACATGGCTACTAAAATAAAAACGCCTTCTGTCAAAATAAAAAACTATACCACTGTGACATTTTGAAAAGAATACAAAATCTACTGATGACATGATAAGGAACTGTTTGAGTGGTGGGAGATATTGTGCAGTAAAGCAGGGCATGATTGAGTATAGTTTTACTCCGTTTTTAGCAATGTTCCTGTAATATCACGGTGGGGACACCAGAAATGGGATTCACAGATTGTATCCATGTGGGGAATCGAACACAGGTCTTCGTGATCTTGGTGAGCTCTTTAGTTAAACCACTAGGCTTACTGAAGCATGGTCTATAGCTACCGACTATGTCGGCATACTATACTTCCAAAACAAAATCATGGGTAAATTTTGGGAGGAGTGGATCGTCATATTTTGAGCAAGGGATCAGCAGGAGAAAGCAGGAACTTCTGATAATGACAGGGATGGTTTGAAGGGAATGCATAAAACGCGTCCATATACAAACTACAAACATGAACATTTTACAATAAATTGTATATTCATATACTTATCCAATCTCAGACAATACATTTTCCTTCTTTGATTCAGGTGTGGAAACAATTCGATATTAATAACACGTTTCCAGCTTCCAAAAACACCTCACCACAACACAACCCCAGTTGTCACTGTGGTCACCTCTATAAACAGAGGATCGAACACTGCCTGAATCTCAGACACATGCCCAGTTGTCACTGTGGTCACCTCTATAAACAGAGGATCGAACACTGCCTGAATCTCAAACACATGCCCAGTTGTCACTGTGGTCACCTCTATAAACAGAGGACCGAACACTGCCTGAATCTCAAACACATGCCCAGTTGTCACTGTGGTCACCTCTATAAACAGAGGACCCACGGAACACTGCCTGAATCTCAAACACATGCCCAGTTGTCACTGTGGTCACCTCTATAAACAGAGGACCGAACACTGCCTGAATCTCAAACACATGCCAAGTTGTCACTGTGGTCACCTCTATGAACAGAGGATCGAACACTGCCTGAATCTCAAACACATGCCCAGTTGTCACTGTGGTCACCTCTATAAACAGAGGATCGAACACAGCCTGAATCTCAAACACATGCCCAGTTGTCTTCTCAACCTGGCCATGAGACTGAATGCAGAGGATGTTATGTGACCAGGTTGCATGTTGGGTGATCAAACAATTGTTCACATGATAAAGCTAAAAGTCGGTTCACACCAGGATCGAAGGAGGATGAAATGTATAGTGTGGTATAGGATAAGTTTCAAAATATCATAAATATACATTCTTGCATACATATTGGACTTGTATAATATAAACACATAGTGCCATCACACTTGTATTCGTCAATACAGGATTGTATAACGTAAACTCCACCACAATGACAATATTCTGGTATCAATGTTACCTGACAGATGAGAACCATGCATAACAAAATCACCTTTTCATGGCAAAGTGAAACTGATTTACAGTTGGATCTATGTAGCTGATATACACATACATGATGGTTGAAAGGGAAGTGGTTATGGGTAACGAGGACATCAAATTTATTAAAAGAAGACCTATTACTCGGATATCGTACCTCTTAGCATGAAGGTCTGAGAACACCTCTCTTGTGTCAGGTGACTGGATTTCAGGATCTCAAAAATGAACATAATTAGGCAGCTCTGAATGTAAAAAATAATGACTGTTACTAAAATACACCAAAAGGGTAAAAAGCTGAGGGTATATTTTTGTTCTGTGGCTTATTCTGCTTCCTAAATAAACACTTCCAACCTGGGTGTTCAAAATTCACCGGATGCGACATTCTGTGTAAGCGTCCTAGGATCTTGATGCAGAGTGGTCCGATGTCAGGGTAAAGGATCTGATTTTAATATATTTTGAGGAATAATAATTGTCGGACAATATGTACATCTATGATTCACACTGGGATGAGATAGGAACAAGGACGCATCTGGCCTGGATTCATTAAAAGATTTTTGATGACCAATTATCTTGGGTCGTTCAAATTTCGGAGTCGTTCAATATATATCAACTTTATTTGTCAAGAAGTAATCTGGGTAGGTCAGTGTTATGGGGAACCTGTAAATATCCAGGTCACAATTGTTCTTCAGCAACCCAGCTTGTCATAGAGGCGACTGACGGGATTGGGTGGTCGAGGTTGCTGACTTGTTCGACACTTATAACCGTATCCCAACTGCGTAGATCGATACTCATGCTGTTGGTCACTGGATTGTCTGATCAAGACTTGATTATTTACAGACCGCAATCACATAGCTGGAATATTGCTGAGTGCGGAGTTTAACAAACAAAGAAACAAACAGTATTATGGAGAAAAAGGTGATAAGTCTGTGTAAGTTAGTTGTTTTACTGCCACTTTGAACAGTGTTTCAATTACATGATGGAGTGTCAGCGTAGTATGACAGGAAAGACTGAATTCTAAATTAGGTTCTGTGACTGTTACATTTTACGATCAAACCCAAGATACCATATAAAATTCAAGTCATGGCGTGGTATGAGCGAGTGAGTGAGTATAGTCGTACGCCACTTTCAGCAATATTTCAGCAATGTCACGGCAGGGGACACCAGAAATGGGCTTCACACATTGTGCCCATGTGGGGATTTGAACCCAGGTCTTCGGCGTGACAAGCAGACGCTTTAACCAACAGGCTACCCCACCGCCCTGACGTGGTATGAAAGATAACGGTTCCCAAATTATGTTAGCCGTCTGGCTAGCATGCCTGAAAGTTATCAGTCCACAAAATAATTCACTAGTCCGAAAATTTGAACGTAGACACTGGTTTCATCATAAAGCTACTAATATGATTAACATTTTTTTTATCAGGCCATAATCTTGCATGATCTAAAAGTGTGTTATAACTTTACAAGTCGGATAGAGTGTAATATTTACCAAATGACCCCATGAAAATTCACTAGCCGATCTCTCACATGACTTTACAGTCGATCTCACATGACTTTACAGTCAATCTCACGTGACTTTACAGTCGATCTCACATGACTATTGTTGGTGTTTCAATGATGATGGAATATATAATAAAATAACTATCATTACAAATTAATTATCATTACAAAACACATACATAAACTATACATAATTACATACACTTCAATAATCAAATATCTAAAACATCAGTCGCTGTATCCTAAAGGATTTTCTATTAATAATAAATACACACGCTTCCCTTTTTCCCAGATTACAGTAAATATTTGAACAATTACAATATTTTTACGCCGGAAAATAAATTAAAATTTAAATCATGATTGTATGTTCTGACCCTGGTTGCTGGCTCTGGTTATTCAGAAAATACGAAAAGTCTCTCATTTGTATTTGCTCCCTGTAATTAACAACGTGAATTCTGCTTATAATACAGTGAGACCCTTTATACAGACATCAGAAAGAAACCCTGCCGGTTGATATTTACACAAATGTGGTCCTACTATTCTCCATTTATTGCTGCCACTTAATGACCTGTGTCCACCATTGTGATTGTTGTGTTCACTAAACACAACCAATACAGCCTTCATGAGGTTTCATACACTTTCTAGAGGTTTCATACACTTTCATGAGGTTTCATGCTAACTTAGATTGATTCAAAAACAGTTTGGGATCATGACTATTTTGTGGATACTGTTTTTGTCAAGCGTGACTTTGATACTTTGATACTGCTTTTTATTTACGTGAGTGAGTGAGTGAGTTTTATGCCCCTTTTAGCAATATTCCAGCAATATCACAACAGGAGACACCTGAAATGGGCTTCACACGTTGTTTTGAAAGTGTACTGTATATGCAATATGTCATGATCCCAAACATTTTTTGCACAGTCTAGATAAGTTATTTCATTTCATATGACAGAAATGAAAACAAAGAAATGCTACACTTATAAACAATACTTCCTGATAAAAATTATGATCTAATAAATATGTGCTTGATATTTCATATCAATGTCCACACTTTTCAGATTATATGACAAATATGTAATTTTTGGAGTAAAATTGATATTTTATACTTATCCTGACTCATGCTCTTTTTGCTTGTCTTCTTCTTCTTGCGAACATAGTGGAACACTTGTATCTCCCTAATTGAAGCTCCCTTCAATGTAAAATCCCTAATTAGTACTCACCACGCGTTACCTCCCTTCCACAAGCTGGCAGGGGAAGAGCCACCCTACCCATGTGCCTCTACTCTCACTGTATACTGAGCCCAACATTTGAATTTACAGGAAATCCAAAGTGTTATGTGGGCAGGATGGGAGGGCTGACCGAGTCAGGATAAGTATAAAATATCAATTTTACTCCAAAATTACATATTTTCCTTATCCTGACTCATGCTCTGTTTGTAGAATCTTACAATGGCACGGAGGTGGGAATATCTAATACTTTGGATTTTTTAATAATTAGTGATTTGAACTGTGATGATTGTAATAACCCTATGGGAACTTCATAAAGGCACTGAACTGATGAATTCCTGCTGCTAACTTATCAGCTGCCATATAAAGGTTATTACCATGTACTTATTATGATAAAGTATATATAACATTAATACAATGCTAAGACTAATAGACTTAAGCTTGTTAATATGCTAGTATAAACTCCTTAGAGTTTGTTAGCTAAAATACTTTAAGATATAAACATAGTACTAAGCTTAAGATATGATTAAACTTAAGCTAATTATATAATAGCAAACTCTTTAGAGTTTGTTAGTTAATATACTTATATGATATAGATATAATGCTGAGCTTAAGATATGAATAAGCTTTAGCTACATATATAATAGCCGAACTCTGTAGAGTTTGTTAGCTAATATATTTTTATAATATGAGTATAGTACTGTGCTTAAGATATAATTAACTTAAGCTACATATATAATAGCAAAACTCTGTAGAGTTTGTTAGCTAATATATTTTTACAATATGAGTATAGTACTGAGCTTAAGATATGATTAAACTTAAGCTATATATATAATAGCAAAACTCCGTAGAGTTTTGTTAGCTAATACATTTTATAATATAACCATACTGCTTAAGATATGATGAAACTTAAGCTAATTATATAATAGCAAAAAACCCTTTAGAGTTTGTTAGCTAAAATATTTATATGATTTAAACCTAGTATTGAGCTTAAGATTTGAAGTAAACCTTAAGCTAATTATAGCAAATAAACCTTTTAGAGTTTTGTTAGCTAATATACTTATATGGTATAAACATAGTATTGAGCTTAAGATATGAAGAAAACCTTAAGCTACATGTATATAGCAAAAACTCCGTAGAGTTTGTTAGCTAATACATGATATAATGTAACCATAAAGCTTAAAATATGATGAAACTTTAAGCCCAATATATAATAGCAAAAACTCTTTTGGAGTTTTGATAGCTAATATACCTATATGATATAAACATAGTACTGCGCTTAAGATATGAATAAGCTTAAGGTACATATATAATAGCAAGAAACTCCGTAGAGTTTGTTAGCTAATACATGTTATAATGTAACCATATTGCTTAAGATATGATGAAACTTAAGCCAAATAGCAAAACTCTTTAGAGTTTGTTAGCTAATATACTTATATGATATAAACATAGTACTGAGCTTAAGATATGAATAAACTTAAGCTACCTATATAATAGCAAACTCTGTAGAGTTTGTTAGCTAATATATATTTTTACAATATGAGTATAGTACTATGCTTAAAATATACTTAACTTAAGCTATGTATATAATAGCCAAAAACCTCTGTAGAGTTTGTTATAATGCATTTATCATGTAACCACTGTGATGATAAAAAAGAGGTTAAGTAAATTATATATAGCATGAAGCTATTTAGTACTGTTATAAGATAAGTAAAAATCTGTTAGATTGACTTATCTTCTCCGAGGAACTGTCAGCTGTTGTGCGAGGACCATGGGATCGAATTGGTGGATACCTGAGACGTCCTCGGTGGTGATATCTCTCAGATAATGGTTAGCAACCACCATATCGGATTTCCAGAAATAAACCCTCCATTATTCCAATAACATTTGTGTAGATCAATTGTAGAAGTTAGCGCTCTAATATCATGAGTATTAAAGCTCATGGAGGGTCGGAATAGGTCCATCCGCATATGCACGTAGTATGACAGTTCTGATCCAAACGGAGATATAGTACGTGAGACTTCACTCTAAGTTGATGATAGAGAGAAAAATCTGTTGCATTTTTCCTCCTGTTTGGTTCGGTGGAGATAAATTTACAGTGCTCTTGCTGGCCATCATTGATATAGAATCATCGTATCATGGAGTCCAAGTATGTCATCCAGGCGTGTTCATAAATCTCACTTGTGAGGTGTTGGAGCACTATATTCATATCCCCAAGTTGGGCGTGAAACTTCCGTTTTATTCTCCAAACAGAAGCTTAGTAGGTTTACTAACCATCTAGTTGTGTTAGTCGCTGATGAAATTCAGCTGTAGTCTGAAGCACGCTGTGGATTTAGATCCACTTGTATCTTTCGTCTAGGTAATTCGCTGCAAAGTCCTTGACGATGTAGGTGCACAACCAGGTGTGTCTGTCCTCGTTGAACTTTATGTAAAATCGCCTGACTGCCGATCCCTCGTCTTAACTTGACAGGGGAGGTCTCTAACCTGAAGAAAGCAGTCTAATCATGAAGGTTCAGGTTAACTGGACTGTAATGAGGCTTGCTCGTTCACTGATATATAGTTGTCACTTGTGACGTAAGTCTTGAACTGTGAATTGAGATCGACCTCTGTGTAGGTCGTTTTCCCTCGCGGTCCAATCAGAACAAGGCATTTTGATTCTGTATAATACCCGCTGTGATGTCACGGTGTGGCGGGAAAAACCCACCTTGAATAAATTCTTGTAAATTACGTTGATATTAGCATAAACGTGGGTCTTAGCCCGTAACTTCCTCGGGTTATCCGGTGACCACGTGTTTCGAGGGTTAATGGTAACCGCTGCTTGAAACCTCGGCGTTGAAATATCTCGCTCTGTAATCTTAATGCTGGGTAGGTTATTTTCCTGGTTGTCGTAAAGTAATTTCAGTTTTGAATATAATTCCGACTTCCTTATATATAAGGGTACAAACAACTTGCAAGTTGTGAGCTTGTAGACTGTATACATGAATGTATCGTCATAATTGTAGAATTAAAGTTGAACTTGTACATATTTCTTCTCAGAAACGTTGACGATTATGAGTTATACTCGCTGCAACAAGGCTGCTGTTCAATTTCGATATTGAATTGTCTGCAGATATGCGTAATGGTCACTCATGTAGATAATCGTATCGTCGTCCAGGATTGCATATTAGCAATTTATACGGAATAGTTGATTTCTGTGAAGATCTATGAAACGTCGTTGACTAAATAATACAGCGACTTTCTGTGTTGTAAATAGCCTGTGCAATTGTCTTCGCGTAGGCTTATAGACGGCATCTGGCATACAGTTGATAAACAACTTATGCAACGTCTTGAACGGACTGACGAGTAGCTATATATGACGAGTGGCTAGTACATGGAAACCTTGGAGGAGACTTCCTCGGTGAACGCCGGAGACTTCGCGAAGTTCTCAAAGTATCCCTTCTAGATCTTCTGGGTGAAGTAGACTTGGAGCCACTTAGCCTTCGCGACCTTCGCGAAGGTATCGAGTCAAAGCCTGATTAGTATATATATATATATATATATATAAATATATATATATATGAACGCTGGCTTCGCGAACAGCCTCTGTGTTTAACAGGATGTGGGATCGGCGAAGCGCTACTCCTCCGTGACGTCCCTTGTAGCTGGTGAGGCTCTAGCTCCTTCTCGGAGGCGGTCTGGGACTTGCTGGTAGTGCATAAGTAGGGCCGCATGGATCATCTTATCATCTTCAGAAGTCGTGTTACGAAGTCTGGTGATAAGTGTCTTATTCATCTTTCTAGATCTATTTAGGCCAGCGAACATACGTCCCGTCATGGATTCAACTGAACCAATATACGATTGTAGTTCTTATTCTTGATATCGATGATCAACTTGTCTATGGGTTGATCTTCTCGGAGACTTGTGAGGGGAACGTTGATAGTTTCGCGAAGCTCTTGTATAGTCCCTCGATGTCCTTCTAGATGATGATGATCTGGATTCAGGTGTCCTTCGCGCATGCCTTCGCGAAGCTTCCTCTGCGTCCGGTCCGGGGGAACGACGATATGACCTTCGCGAAGGCTTCCGTGATGTCTGATGGTCCGAGTCCACATCTAGGGATGAAACCGAAGAGGGTGATGATCTATCCTGCCTTCGCGAAGTCCTTCGCGAAGGCTGTACATCTATGTCCTTCCCGCCTACGCGAAGTCCTTCGCGAAGGCTGTACATCTAGGTCCTTCGCGAAGGCTGTACATCTAGGTATCGTCAAGGTGGTCCGTGACTTCCTTCGCGAAGGTGACATCGTCCTGGCTGCTACGTTGACGGGGGTTGCCTCTGGGGTGCTGTCTACGTTGGAGCCTTCGCTAAGGCTCGGTCCCTGCTTATGCAGTCTGTAGCGGTCCTCCATCATGGTCATAATTTGCCGCATCAGGTCCTCAGGGATGGTCTGCGACGAGGTCGTCGGTGCCTTATCTGCGGTGTTAATGGAGGGGTCCACAGGAAAATCGTCCGACATCAGTGTAGAGGCATCAGGTTGCATGGTGATCTCTGCTGATGTCGCGTTGTAGCTGTCACCGGGTCGTTTCTTGTGGCGAATGCGTCGGGGATGATGATCAGCTGATCATCGTAGAGGTCCAGGTCATCGGCTGGAACAATCTCGGTTGAGAAAGTCCTAGTAGACTTCGTTGATTTCCCCTCAGAGGTCGACGCTGCCCTGGGTGTGCGACGTCTGCGTTGAGTGTTGGTAACGATGGGACCCTCAGGACGATCATCGAATATCAGCGTTGGTACATCAGGCTGCATGCTGATCTGTTCCGACATCGGTCATTCTTTTGATGTACATCAGGTATGATGATCGGCTGATCATCATACAGGCCCAAATCTGCGATGGGAACAATCTCGGCTGTTGAGATGTAGTAGAAAACCCTCTAGTCTTCTGCTGCGACGATGGGATGTCTGGGGAAGCAGGATGCTTCTTGGAGATGGCGGACTACGTCCCACGCCTCTCCACCACTCTAGCGGAACACCACACGGGAGGGGAGTCGGCCAACAGCAGTAGACTGGCGAGGGGTTCAGGTGTATCAGTCAAACTAGACTCGGCATACGCGACCTATCTGCTGCGCGTCTCCAACGCAAAGTAAATATTAATAAAAAGGTAGAATTGGATAAATTAGTACCGCAACTGCAACGTGAATATAATGAACATGGCGCCGTACAACTAAGTCATATTAAAGGCGGATCAGCAGCAGCATAAAAAACGTAGTCTGCAATAGTACAGAATTTTCATCAACGTAATCCACTGAAACAAACACGGCATCCCGTGAATAAACTGTAGAAAAACGACTAAATATCAATATATAATCGTTGAAGGATACTAGCTAAACCTCTATAGATGTCTATACGAGGTAACTAACTAAATATAATTCAAAGGATATAGTGTGTCGGGAGACACAGGCGCTCTCACGTCCAGCTCACTGGGCGAAGAAGGAGAGAGTGAGGCACATGGGTAGAGGTGGCGCCCTCGTTCCCGCGCTTGTGGAAGGGAGGTTACTCGTGGTGAGTACTAATTAGTGATTTTACATTGAAGGGAGCTTCAATTAGGGAGATACAAGTGTTCCACTATGTTCGCAAGAAGAAGAAGACAAGCAAAAAGAGCATGAGTCAGGATAAGGAAAAATTTAAAGTATTATAGAAAATAGTAAATAATTTTGATTCATATAGTAAGAGTGAAATGACAGATAACTATAAAAACAGTGAGTCAGTTTATGATTTTCAGTAATTGCAAATAGTACATGTAATCGGTGCCACGGTGTAGTGGAAATCTTTGCTGTGGTTGTGTCTACTCAAGGCTGACTTTAGTTTTGCCCATTACTGCATGCTTGGCTTTGCTGAGTCTCTTGTGATAGCTCTGTGCCATGGAGTTGACTATAGACAACACAAAGTATATCACCATGACAATCACTATCTTCTCGAATATCCATGACAACACGTTGGTGTCCTGAAAATACAAACAGACTTATTAGATCTGTGTTCCACATGTTGGATGGGTGGGATGCTGCTTCTTATTTTGAGTGGGTGGGTGCGTGCGTGCGTGCGTGAGTGAGTGAGTGCAATATTCCAGCAGTATCATAACAGGGGACACCTGCAATGGGCTTCACACATTGTACTTCTATTGTCAAAGCAATCGTAACGCTATGACTGTCATAACTGCTATACTGTAACATAAACTTACGACAATAGTAGCGCTACGATAGCTTTGTGAAACGGGGCCCAGGGGTGGAGGAGTAGGGGATGAATGGTCGCTTGTGACTGCAAACGACTGGGTTCAATTTCCCTTAAAAGTATAATGTGTGAATCTTATTTCTAGCATCCCAGGTGTGATATTGCTGGAATAGCTTATTTTGCGATTGTTTGTTGTTTCATACTGCACTCAGCAATATCCCAGCTATACGGTGTCAGTCTGTAGATAGTCCAGTTTGGACCAGACAATCCAGTGATCAACAGCATGAGCACTGAACTATAAATAATTGAGACCGGACCAGACAATCCAGTGATCAACATCATGAGCATCAATTTACATAATTTGGATACGATGCCATGTGTCAACCTAGTCAGTGAATCTGACCACCTGAACATGTTTTCTAGAAGGAGTGTTTAAACAAATAACTGAAGCACTCATTACACTGTAAAGTATTAGGTCAATATTTCAGGAAGGTCTGAAGTAGGAGACACTTGGGTACAACTCATTAGCACGGGCATCATGCTGGCAGAGACACTTGGGTACAACTTATGAGCACGGGTATCATGCTGGCAGAGACACTTGGGTACAACTTATGAGCAAGGGGTATCATGCTGGCAAAAGAAAAGAATTGTTTGAAGTCAGGAATTGATACCAATGACCAACAGATCCTTGCAGAACGAAGGGAGATTAATCAAATCCCTCATTTCAAGTGACCTAGTAGTTGGGCTGCAACGATTCACACAGGCCTCGATTCGATTTGATTTTCGATATTGGACCCTCAATTTGATCATTTTCGATTCGATTCTTCATACAAGTCAAAAACATCAAAGTCTGAGGGTTTATTAAACAACACATATCACACTGAAACCTTTTTCTAGGATTTGACTAGGAAATCAGGAATGTAAATGATGTAACTTTTTTCAAACAAATAAAGTGATGTTTAAACACAGAACAGCGCTCAAATACTGAATTGAAATAGTGATAATAGTTATCAAAAATCGAAACTAAGGTGTCAGATTCAATTTTCGATGAAACGAACCGAATTGTTTGCAGCCCTACCTATTAGTGTCTATATTAATGAGGGACCTTTCAAACAAATACAGATGACCATGCAGATCTTGCGGTACAGGTACAGTAACAACTCACCGATTGTGTCCCGGTTCCCATCTTGTGATGTAACTTCTGTTTCTGTTGCTCCAACCACTTTGCGAACGGCGTCTGTAGCGACATCCCCACCGCTGGTATACTCCTAGGAACACAGTACACAAGTATTACTCTACCCAATACACAATGCTGTCCTAAGGGAAATAATGATTTCTGTAATACTAATTCCACATGAGAAATAAAATGTCACTACATTGATATTAGAATCAGAATTCACTGACTATAGAATCAGAATTCACTGACATTACAATCAGAATTCACTGATATTACAATCAGAATTCTCCGATATTAAAATCAGATTTCTCTAATATTGAAATCACTATTCACCTATAGTAAAATCAAAATTAGACAATATTACAATCTTAATTTACATTGTAGATAAAATTGTACAATCTTCCGGAAATCAGTTCCAAGTTGGAAACCCCATGGTATAATGTGCCAGTCTGTAAATGATCTAGTCTGGACCAGACAATCCCGTGATCAACAGCAAGAGCATCGATCTACACAACTGGGATACGACGACATGTCAACCAAGTCAGCGAGCCTGCCCACCCGATCCCATTAGTCGCCTCCTACGACAAGCAAGGGTTACAGATGACCAGTTATTCCCGGATCTTCACGGGTCCAATGGACTTCATTAGTATCACGACAAGTGTGAGAGCATCAAATACTCACCCCAGTAACCTGACTAAACTTTCCACATGTTGTTTGCTAAACAGGAAAATAACAAATAATTTCTGGAACAGAAAACACATACATGCCATCAGTACATACAACAAAAAATGTCAATAAATATACATATGGGCCGCATTTCACAAAGCAATCATAGGGCTACGACTATCGTATCTCTATACTTTAACATAGAGTTACGACAGTTGTAACACTAACATTGCTCTGTGAAACAGGGCTCACATCTTTTATATCTCAGAGATAACAAACCTTTATTTAATCTACATATGCATTAGGGCTGCAGCGAATCAACTGCAAGGCCAATATGATACATATCACGAATACTGGGTAATAAATTAAATATCAAGTCAAAAGCAGATGTATTATTAGTGAAACAATGACAAAATATATTTTCTGACATGTTTTGATCATATTGATAGTTTAAGACGACAATGACACGTTGCATTACTGTCAAATTAAATAGAACTGTATTAAAGTGTTGACCATTTTCCAACCTGGTTTGGATATATATTTTGCATATTTTGTTTTGATAAATAACACCCACATTCATGCAAGAACATTCCTTTTTTAAAATGTTCATGAATATTTGATCCTAGAGATTGCAAATAAAGAATAGAATTCATGAAGGGATGCTGTTTGATTCACCGATATGCACGTGAATCGTTACAGCCCAGACATGCATATATAGAGTATATCATATGAGTGCCCATGTCATACTATGTTAATCACCTGAGTGCCTAAATGTTGGTATTTCCCGAGCAGGAGCGACGAATATGCCGATATTTAGGCACAAGTGAAGTAAACATAGTATGATATGGGCACGAATATAATATTCTGTTTATTACCAAAGTCGTCAAATTGAGGAAAATACAACCAAATCTACTTTGCAGAACGCAACAACACAGAAGAAATGTGACGTCATAGCATTGTTCATGACGTCACGTCACCATGACAAAGTGATATTTTGCCCTAGGGCATCGTATGAAAAATTTGAACCCCGATATTTTCGCCCTCGTACGTAATAATCATAACTATACAATACATCAAGATTATTATTATATGTTTTTCCATTCAGCAACATTCAACCTAAATAACAGCCGTCTGTAAAGAATGCTGTCAGACAATCCAGAGATTGACATCATGAGCACAGATCTCTTTCCCTGTTATTACTATAAGAATGAGTGAGTGAGTGAGTTTAGTTTTACCCTGCACTCAGCAATATTCCAGCTATATGGCGGCGGTCTGTAAAAAATCGAGTCTGGACAGACAATTCAGTGATCAACATCATGAGCATCGATCTACCCAGTTGGGAAATGATGACATGTGTCAACCAAGTCAGCAAGCCTGCTGTGACAAGGATGGGCTACTGAAGATCAATTGTAACACAGATCTTCATGGGTCCTGTGTTATAAGAAAATAATCTTACCTGTATATGCATTTTAATAATGGCTTTTCCTATAAGTGTTGCACCGAAGAATGTCCAGAATGGAATGAGGAAATGGCCGCAAGTGATGCCAGCCAGGTCGAACAATGGGTTTGGGATCTGGAACAAAAAAACAGCCTGGTTCAGACGGAGAAGAGTGAGTGAGTGAGCAAGTTTAGCTTTACACCATTTTTACTTGGCAATAATCCTTCAATATCATGGCAGGGGACACCTGAGAAATGGGCTTCTAACATTGTACCCATGTGGGGAATTGAATCCTTGTGACGAGCGAATGCTTTAACTACAAGGCTACCCTACCGCCCCTTCAGATGGAGAAGTCCATACCATGGTTCATACAGAAATGTCAAGATGCGACAATTCATACCAAGTTTGTTGTTTAATGCCGCACTCAGCAACATTTCAACTATATGACGTAAATAATTGAGACTGGACCAGACAATTCAATGATCAACATCATGAGCATCAATTTACACAATTTTGGAAATTTTAATATAAATTGTATATTTATATACTTATCCTCTCTCACGACTTGCACCTCTCTCTCCTTGCTTTGTTTTTTAGTGGAACGACTGTAAAACTTTTTCCATAGGCCTCCTTGTCCATTCGCCTGTGCACTCCATGCTGCTCTCCTTAATTAGCTTCCTAGTTCCTAATAAAGCTTGCAGCATGCTCTACTAATTGCCCACGTGACTACCTTGAATGATCATTCTCATCTTGGAGCGAACTTTGTAATCTGAGTAGTGGGGAGGCTGGGCGGGCATCCATCGCGTGATATAGGATAAGTATATAAATATACAATTTATATTAAAATTTCCAAATTTATCCTATCTCGCGACTTGCACTTCTGTCTGGACAGTGCAAACAGCTGGTCTTGGAGCTGTGTGGACTGATGACAACCGTAGATAGCGATGTACAAGGGAAGCCTGTTATGCATGCACGCAACTCCTATGCTTGTAGTGGGTTCTCTGGAACCCCTTGGCTTACTAAGCACAACGACCCCAGGGAGATGGGTGCTTCCGAGCGATGTGGTGTTCGGCCGCAACCTTGTACAAGACACGGGACACAACTCAGCAAGTAAGCCTTGCCTCGCCACGATTTACAAGGTACCCCCGTAATTAAAGTCTTGTGACTAGAAACAGGCCAGCCCCTGCTTCAAGAAAGCTCCCCAGACACCGACCGAGGCGGGTCAAAGAGAAACACAACTCGGCATCTCCAAGCTTTAACGTTCAGTTCCGGGCAGCATCAAATTGACCCTCACTCCTTTGCTTAAGCTTAGTCAAAGGATGTGTCCGACAACTTTGGAGGCAGAACGCAACGAAATCCACTGGAGTTCGGGAGTGTCACACTTCACTGATGTAATTACTCCATGGAGTAGAGGTCAGTAAGCGTGAATGTCGAACACCTCTGAATCGTCATACTGATTGTGCCTCAGGTCTGTAGGGCCACGCTAGGTGGCCGTATTCCGATGCCTTGGTATGGAGGCCAAGTGAAGTAGTTCTTAAACCCATATAATGAGAACAAATGGTTGAGATCCAGTTCAACTTTTATTCAGTATATACAAGGAAGCAGTAATGAAATTGCGGAACCATCCCTCATCTGCGTTGTTGGGCCGATGTAAGCTGCTGAGCCAGTACAAGAGGTCCGAATTGGTGTAGTCCCTGGACATCGGTGACAGACACATCTCGCAGGTAATGTGAAGAGATGACTTTATCAAATGCCAGAAGCAACCTTCCATGATAGCGGTCAAGGAGCAGTTGCTATGGAGGGCCATCGTCGAGGCTAGTGCACGAGTCTCATGAGGATTGGAAGCGGCTGGAGGAGGCAACCCTGCAAGGTACAGGCTCGCAGGATTGTGGCGCGCATCCAGAAGGCCAATGTGGTCCCAGAAACCTCAGTTCTTGAAGCGGTCGGCAAGGGTGTGAAGAGGTGCTTCTGTAGCTGTCGACGATGCTTGGAGGCAGCAAGGTAAACGTGTAGAGCCCTAACAGGGCAGAGTGTCAAATCTTCATTATCATCAGGTCCAAGAATGATGAGCAACGGGGGGAATGGTAAACAACCGGTCCGGTTGCCCTGGCAGTTGGTTTTTCGCAATGAAGTCCCAGCGGAGACCCAGGAAAGCCTTGCCATGCTTCTTCCGCTCGAACCGCACCAGACTGACATCAAGCGCATGAAGTTCAGATATATGAGCAGCGGTAGCCAAAGCTACCATGAAGAATGTCTTGAATGTCACTTGTCCTTGTCTTCCAAAGGTTCATAATCTGTAGAAATCATATGACGAAGGACGACGAACAGATCCCAGGCCGGAGGTCTGAACTTCCTGGACTGGTCAGAGAGTCTATAGGAGCGTAGTAGACTCTGCAACTCGGGAACAGTGGAAATCTTCATGCCCGAGGTGGCAGCCAAAACCAAGTTGATGGCGGATAAGCAGGTAGCTAACGTAGTACCCTTGAGTTTCTTAGTAGTGCGGAGATGTCCCTAATATACAGCACGTCCACACAGTCATGCCACAAGAAAGAATGATCATTCAAGGTAGTTGAATGGGCAATTAGTGGAGCATGCTGCAAGCTTTATTAGGAACTAGGAAGCTAATCAAGGAGAGCAGCATGGAGTGAACGGGCGAATGGACAAGGAGGCCTCTGGAAAAGAGTTTACAGTCGTTCCACTAAAAGTCGAAGCAAGAGAGAGAGGTGCAAGTCGTGAGATAGGATAAGTTTAAAAATTATTTGTTTACTTCTTCAGCGCTTTAAATATCGTTATAATATATACTCCCCATCAAAAGTTAAGACTCACTAGTGTAAATGTAGCCACTTACTTCAGTCAACTCTTCTAAACTAGATTTTGCAAAATTTTCAATACTGTTTAAAGGTACTGTTTACACATGAACTTATGTATTGTAAAACAAATTCGTAACATTGAAAAGTTTATTGTCATGGGTTAAAGAAATGATGAAACTGAGTGAAAATTGGCGAATTTTTAACTAAATTTTACACCACAACACAGCTGATCACATGAACAGTTTAATGCATTATTCTCGTGCAATTCATCTGCATAAGGTTTGCAGTTGGTTCCCCAAAGTTAGGGGAGACATTTATCTTCGATGTAATCACACATATATACATAACATATAGTGAGTGCTTTAAGTGACTCTAAACTTTTGATGGGTAGTATATGTATATATATGTGTGAATGTGAGTATGAATGTGAGTGCAAATGTGTGTGAATGTGAGTGTGAATGTGTGTGTGAAATGTTTGTGAGTGTGAATGTGAGTGTGAATGCGACAGTGAACGTGAGTGTGAATGTGAGTGTGTGTGAATGTGAGTGTGAATGCATGTGGGAATGTGAGTGTGAATGCGAGTGTGAATGTGAGTGTGAATGTGTGTGTGAATGTGAATGTGAATGTAAGTGTGAATGGTGTATACGTTTTTGTTTTGTGGCACAAAAATCTGTACTTCTTTTTTATTAAAACAATGTAACACTGAGCAGCTTGATCATGTTACCATCTTTTATTGAATCTGTAATTATAAGTGTTCAACATAACTGGTCAGATCCTGTGGTACCCTGAGTCCAGAGTCTTTTCACTGCATCAGGGAAGGCAGAAATAAAAGAAATGTCAAGATGAAACTCAATGATTCCTCAAAAGAGGATTAAGTGTTTAAATACATATTTTCTTGAACAAACTCACCGAAGCACAGGCTAAAATCCCAAAGAACCCGACTCTCTGTACGAGATTGTGAACTGATAACTTAGCTTTCTCCATGAATCCCTGAAATAAATATTATTTAATGTTTAAGCATTTTCTGACACACAAAAAAATTCTTATCATGCTTATAATTACATATTTAAACAACGAGGAGAGTTCTATGGATATACAACTTCTTTAATGTAATATGAGCGACGTTTCAGTGTAGCTACTAACACCATTATCAAGCATATTTACCACAGAATTCCCATTCAACCTAAATTTCTTCACTGAATCAAAAATTATTCTACAGAAAATATATGAAAGTATCATTCTGTTTGAAATGTTACATATTTGCTAGTTCTTCCAATAATTAGTGATTGTATTTTAAAATATTATTGAAATCTGTTAATTTGTTTATCAAGCTTATCAGGAAGAAATTAAAACAATGTCTTTAATCCACCTGTAATCAGCACTCAGTATATATGTCCATCCTAAAACCATCATCAACACCACACCATCCTAATGCTGTCTCCAAAACACACATCACAAACATCACTCACCAGTTCATCTGGATTTGCTTGTTTCTCATGAATCAACTCCTCGATCTCCTCGAACTCATCCTCCTCCAGGTCTGCCCCGGACAGTCTGGCTGCTCGTGCCATGAAGTAGGGTGGCAACTCCCCTATAGCAGTGCCTGCTCCCTTAAACAACATGAATTAGACTCCTCAGTACTGGAAGCATTGTAAACTTTGTAGATAATGTTCCTTGAGAAATCTTCTGATTTACTAATAAATAAACTTCTGTCATTATGTATACATGGTATTCCTTACATTTTAACATATTTGTTTGCAAAAGTAGTTGCAAAAAAGAATGGTTACTAGCTTACGAGGCTTGTGACTATCAGGGTCTGACTTACAGGGTCCTGTCTGACAGTATCCTGAATAACAGGGTCCTGAATAACAGGGTCATGACTTACAGGGTCATGACTGACAGTGTCCTGAATAACAGGGTCGTGACTTACAGGGTCCTGAATTTCAGGGTCCTGACTTACAGGGTCATGACTGACAGTGTCCTGAATAACAGGGTCGTGACTTACAGCGTCATGGTTGACAGTGTCCTGAATAACAGGGTCATAACTTACAGGGTCATGACTGACAGTGTCCTGAATAACAGGGTCGTGACTTACAGGGTCCTGTCTGACAGTGTCCTGAATAACAGGGTCCTGACTTACATGGTCATGACTGACAGTGTACTGAATAACAGGGTCATGACTTGCAGTGTCCTGAATAACAGGGTCGTGACTTACAGGGTCCTGTATGACAGTGTCCTGAATAACAGGGTCATGACTGACTGGGTCATGACTCACAGTGTCCTGAATAACAGGGTCATGACTGACAGTGTCCTGTCTGACAGTGTCGTGACTTACAGGGTCATGGTTGACAGTGTCCTGAATAACAGGGTCATGACTTACAGGGTGATGACTGACAGTGTCCTGAATAACAGTGTCGTGACTGACCGGATCCTGTCTGACAGTGTCCTGAATAACAGGGTCGTGACTTACAGGATCATGAATAACAGGGTCGTGACTTACAGGGTCCTGTCTGACAGTGTCCTGAATAACAGGGTCCTGACTTACAGGGTCCTGTCTGACAGGGTCCTGAATAACAAGGTTATGACTTACAGGATCATGTCTGACAGTGTCCTGAATAACAGGGTCATGACTTACAGGGTCATGACTGACAGTGTCCAGAACGACAGGGTCCTGACTTACAGAATCAAGATGGTCAGTGTCCTGAATAACAGGGTCGTGACTGACTTACAGAATCAAGATGGTCAGTGTCCTGAATAACAGGGTCGTGACTGACCGGGTCCTGAAGAACAGGGTCGTGACTGACAGTGTCCTGAATAACAGGGTCGTGACTGACTGAGTCCTGAATAACAGGGTCATGACTGACATTGTCCAGAATGACAGGGTCATGACTTACAGGGTGATGACTGACAGTGTCCAGAATGACAGGGTCCTGACTTATAGGGTCAAGATGGTCAGTGTCCTGAATAACAGGGTCGTGACTGACTGGGTCCTGAATAACCGGGTCATGACTGACAGTGTCCTGAATAACAGGGTCGTGACTGACTGGGTCCTGAATAACAGGGTCGTGACTGACAGTGTCCAGAATGACAGGGTCGTTACTGACAGTGTCCAGAATGACAGGGTCATGACTTACAGGGTCAAGATGGTCAGTGTCCTGAATAACAGGGTCGTGACTGACTGGGTCCTGAATAACAGGGTGATGACTGACAGCGTCCTGAGTAACAGGGTCTTGTCTGACAGTATCCTGAATAACAGGGTCGTGACTGACAGTCAAACATCTGACTGACAGTGGTCCAAGCTAACAAGGTCATGACCAACAGTGGTCAAAGCTAACACAGTGTGACTGAGTGACAGGGACCTAATCAACATCATCATTTAAAAGCAGGACACAGCAAAATTCCAACCTTCATCTCAGACACAGACTATTAGCAACAACCATACACAAAAACATCCAGTGACAAACATCATGAGCATGGACGTGTGCAACAGGGCAACAATCAGATGCGTCAACCACGTTAGTGTGTCTGACCAACTGATCCCAGGAATCGCCTCTAACAACAAGAGACTAATGAAGACTAACTCTAACCTAGATCTCATGGGGTAAAGAAAGACGAAGAGCCACTGACCCACATAACGGCCTCTATCCTGACTTTGCTCATAATGGTCCAGAGAGACATGTACTCCTCTTCTTGTTCTGGACAGATGATCCTGTCAAAGAAACAATTGAATAAAGAACTGATTACACAATGTCATTCAGAAAGTGGTCTAATGTAACATACGTTATATTTGGGAATGCACTCTCTTAGTAAAGTACAGATTCTAGTGCTTTTTTTAAGGCGATTAGGTGCCTCACTCTTGGTGTGTTCGAGAACGGATGGAGACGGCACAGCACAGCACAGGTTAACGAATAAATAACTTTGTCTGTGAACGTGCTTCTCTAACACCTGGCTGTCCCTTTCTCTGCACTCCTCCCTCGTAACAAACAGTGAACTGTGTCAATATTTTAATGATAGTTTGTTAAACAACTTTATTATTTTTAGGAAAAAAATTCTGAAAAAAACCTCACAGAGTGGGTCTGATGTTTTGATTATGATCAGCGTTTCATTGAGTATGTTATGTTTATTAGTTTTCGAGTTAGATTGCAATTCATCGGTCCGCTTTTGAGCCAAACGGACTGTATGCAAACTCACAGATAAGCCAAGGTCCTAACTTGACCCTTAAAATCACTATCCCATACATATGCTGAACCACCAAGCCTGCTCACCATCTCATCTAATCAGTCTTCAGAAATAGAGTGTCTAAAAATCTATGTTGAATTCTGCAAGTAAATCCTGTTGTTACATTATCTAGGAATAAACATAGTCTTTACATATCCAAACTTACGGGTAGTAATCTAGTTTAATGATTTTGTTTGAAATGTCATTCAATAATGTTTATATTACTTGCCACGAAATCTACAGCCATATACTGTGAGCATCTCCATTTATTACTTGGTAGTCAATTCATATAAATACACATTTAAAGGCACACTATCACGGCACACTTCTCTAAAAATCAATATTGCATTTCTCTCATTAATACTAATTATCATACAATGGATAGTGTTCACGGCAGGATAAAGCCAACGGATATTTTCGGTATCCGTTGGGGTCACATACGGATATCGATGCAAATTAGAGAGGTCATATGCAAATTTCAGGAACTACTTTCACAGTGTAAACAAACATGGCGTCAAGGGTTGGCGGTCGGGAAGCTTACTGGGAACTAGATGACCCCTGAGTGATCAGGAGAAAATTATGTCAACGGGCTCGTGACGTAACGTATTACTCCGCACATATTTGTGACGTCATAGACATTCCACGATGTTTAGTTTCATGATCTGCGGCATTTGAAATCGCATTTTTAAAAATTATAAAGCAAAAATGACGTATGATAAATAGGTTATCACACTCGTGAGTTTTGGGATGATTAATATCCTGCATTAGGAAGGCTCGCTAAATACAATGATTATTCCTAATGCAGGATATGAACCATCCCAAAACACACTCAAGTGATAACCTATATTTATTAGCACCCAGCGGAGCTACCATATAATTTATTCCGAAAAAAATTACGTATTAAGATTAAAATATAAATTAAAAAGTTCGAATGAATTAATGCAATTAAATCGACTCTCACTCCCTCTACTGACCAAACTTTATTTCAAGCAAACCCCACAGAGTTATGTCCCTTGGAATGCTCTTTACGAATATCCTGTAACACAACTTGTGAGTGAGGCCAGTTCGGCAACCAACAACAACACTGCGTGCAACAGTTTCCGATTTATGGAGCAATTGTTTACATTCCATATATGGCAAGTGTTCTCTGTTTGGAAGCTGTTCGCCTCGAAGTTTCAATTACGATTTCAGGCAAGTCGTAAGGGATAGTAAGTCTTTTATGGTATCAATAGGAAGCTAAAGTGAGTGCATATGCCCCAATATTTATATTAAAGACCAAAATACTGTCGAAAAAGCGTGACATTGTGCCTTTAATAAAGGTTTCATCGGCTGCCTACTTAACAGGCTTAATCATTAAAACAAATAATGATAAAATGACAACAAATCTGCGACATCGGTCGGTACAATAATGCAAACCAAACTCCTCTATTTCCAGGAAATTAGGAAATGGTAGACCACAACAATATAATTTGGGGGTTCAGTGGAACACAAATGCCCAAAACTTTCTTGGTTAGCTTATAAAAAGCTATGAACATATTTTATATATTCAGCAATAAGCAAATTAAAGCTTGATTGGATCCAATTTTACAAATGCACCCCCATAGACAAGTGTTAAGGTGAGGTAAGGTGAAATGGGGTTTAACGTCACACTTAAGAACATTTCGCTCATATGACGACGTGCATGCATGTGTATGTGTGGCTCCTTGTACTAGCCCAGACTGAAGCTGGTTTTATAGTGCTAGCTCATTGAGATACCATGCCGCAGTGAAGCATTAATACCCCACTCAGACACATTATACTGACTCTGAGCCGACCAGTCCTTGTACCCATTGATGCCGAACGCCAGGTAGGGACCATATTTTAATGTCTTTTGGTATGACACAGCCGGTGATCAACCCGGTGACCTTCCACTCTCTGGGCAGATGCTCTAACCACTACAGACAAGTGTAACAAAGTAGGAAGAGTTGATAGCTCTACTAAAGTTATAATGTCTTTATGACAAGAAAAGTCTCCCTTTGCCAAACCTACAAATGCTACAATTTCTTTATTGTTCACGGTATGATGTCCATAACGTCATGTGATACATATGTATTTCTGGGAATGTCGATCAAGGACTCACGAGTTTGGGTAGGGTGGCTCAGGAAAGTCGACAGACATACACTCAAATGCAGCTAGCGTGACGGACGCAATGTGTGGACCCTGAAAATGCAGCACACAATAAATATACCATTACAGAAGGTGAGGTGAGTTTAGTATAATGCCGCACTCAGCCATATTCCAGCTATATGGTGGAGGTCTGTAAATAATTGAGTCTGGACCAGACAATCCAGTGATCAACAGAATCAGCATCAATCTACACTATTTTGATATGATGACATGTGACAACCAAGTCAGCGAACCTGACCATCTGATCCCATTAGTCGCCTCTTACAACAAGCATGGGTTGCTGAAGACCAATCTAAACCGGATCTTCACGGGTCTGATGGATTTTGAGATTTGATTGTTTGATGTTCATAAAGGTTACAGCATTTTGATCAAGAAATGTTTTTGATATTTAATTGGGGTAAATATCAAGATAGTGGGATGAAATTATCCAGCTCAACCTGAGTGAAAACATTGGGAAAGGTTACTATGGTTACTATGTTGCACTTACCAGATAAAGAAGGAAGGTGTGAAGGCCAGTTCCCAATCCGACAGATGAGAGAATACCCAGGCCCATCCAGTAGCCACACCACAGCAGGTGCTTCCTTATAAACATCACTATCTACAACACAAGGAAACAGCTAAGTTACAGAGGAGGGAATAGCCAGGCCCATCCAGTAGCCACACCACAGCAGGTGCTTCCTTATAAACATCACTATCTACAACACAAGGAAACAGCTAAGTTACAGAGGAGGGAATAGCCAGGCCCATCCAGTAGCCACACCACAGCAGGTGCTTCCTTATAAACATCACTATCTACAACACAAGGAAACAGCTAAGTTACAGAGGAGGGAATAGCCAGGCCCATCCAGTAGCCACACCACAGCAGGTGCTTCCTTATAAACATCACTATCTACAACACAAGGGAAACAGCTAAGTTACAGAGGAGGGAATAGCCAGGCCCATCCAGTAGCCACACCACAGCAGGTGCTTCCTTATAAACATCACTATCTACAACACAAGGAAACAGCTAAGTTACAGAGGAGGGAATAGCCAGGCCCATCCAGTAGCCACACCACAGCAGGTGCTTCCTGATAAACATCACTATCTACAACACAAGGAAACAGCTAAGTTACAGGGGAGGGAATAGCCAGGCCCATCCAGTAGCCACACCACAGCAGGTGCTTCCTTATAAATGTCACTATCTACAACATAAGGAAACAGCTAAGTTACAGAGGAGGGAATAGCCAGGCCCATCCAGTAGCCACACCACAGCAGGTGCTTCCTTATAAACATCACTATCTACAACACAAGGAAACAGCTAAGTTACAGAGGAGGGAATAGCCAGGCCCATCCAGTAGCCACACCACAGCAGGTGCTTCCTTATAAATGTCACTATCTACAACATAAGGAAACAGCTAAGTTACAGAGGAGGGAATAGCCAGGCCCATCCAGTAGCCACACCACAGCAGGTGCTTCCTTATAAATGTCACTATCTACAACATAAGGAAACAGCTAAGTTACAGAGGAGGGAATAGCCAGGCCCATCCAGTAGCCACACCACAGCAGGTGCTTCCTTATAAATGTCACTATCTACAACACAAGTGTGATCTCTAGATTTGATTCCACGAGCAGTTTGGAGCAGACAGACAAAGGATCATTAAAGTGTGATTTACACATATACACCTACAATCTGTAGATCTTTGCACACTAAGGGACTCCACTCAAAAGTATACAATCAAAAATGTGTGTTTCCACTGATGCAGGTTAAAATCAGCTTGTGCAGCCCAAGTACATAAGCAGACTGCACTGTGTACACATGGTAAAATATTCCACAATCAGGCCAATAAATATCACTTGCTTCACAACATGTATAAGATCTCAAGACTTAAGCATTTTCATTTCATATAGAATACATCCTGTTTATGTACACAGCATTTTTTGTTGCACAGTTTTGTAACTCCAGCTTGCTGTTTGTGAGAGAAGAACAAACAGGAGTGAGTGAGTGAGTTTGGTTTAACGCCACTTTTAGCAATATTCCAGCAATATCACGGCGGGGGACACCAGAAATGGGCTTCACACATTGTACTTATGTGGGGAATCGAACGCGTGTCTTCAGCGTGATGAGCCAGCTCTTTAACAACTAGGCTACCCTACCACCCACAAAGGCATGAAATCACTTCCTGGTTTGACAATTGACTTACTGATTGATGGGCTCCCTCTGTGTTGTAGAGAAAGGTGAGGACAGCAGTCAGTACCAGCACAGCCAGGACGCTTCTCTTTCTCTTCCATAACCTGGAATATTGGAGTAAGTGAGTGATGGACTGATGAATGGATCTGTAGATGGATGGAGTGAGTAAGTGTGTGAGCGAGTGTGTGAGTAATGGGTGGATCCATAGATGAATCGAGTGAATGAATGACTGACTGCCTGAGTATGGTTTTATGCAGTTTTTAGCAATATTCCAGCAATATCACGGCAGGGGAACACCAGAAACGGGCTTCACAAATTGTACTTATGTGGGGAATCGAACCCGGGCCTTTGGCGTGACAAGCGAACGCTTTAACCACTATTGTGTGAGTGAGTAATGGATGGATCTATAGATGGAGTGTGTGAGTGAGTAATGGATGGATCTATAGATGGAGTGTGTGAGTGAGTAATGGATGGATCTATAGATGGAGTGTGTGAGTGAGTAATGGATGGATCTATAGATGGAGTGTGTGAGTGAGTAATGGATGGATCTATAGATGGAGTGTGTGAGTGAGTAATGGATGGATCTATAGATGGAGTGTGTGAGTGAGTAATGGATGGATCTATAGATGGAATGTGTGAGTGAGTAATGGATGGATCTATAGATGGAATGTGTGAGTGAGTAATGGATGGATCTATAGATGGAGTGTGTGAGTGAGTAATGGATGGATGGATCTATAGATGGAATGTGTGAGTAATGGATGGATCTATAGATGGAATGTGTGAGTGAGTAATGGATGGATCTATAGATGGAGTGTGTGAGTGAGTAATGGATGGATCTATAGATGGAGTGTGTGAGTGAGTAATGGATGGATCTATAGATGGAGTGTGTGAGTGAGTAATGGATGGATCTATAGATGGAGTGTGTGAGTGAGTAATGGATGGATCTATAGATGGAATGTGTGAGTGACTGAGTGATGGATCTATATAAAAGTGAGTGAAAGAGTTCATATTTAACGTCACATCGGCAATATTTCAGCCACATCGTGACAAAAACAGTTTATACAATATGAAAATGAAAACATTGTGAAGAGTTAAACCTGTCGACGAAGGACAGTAAAAATCCTAGGGGATCACAGATATGAACATAAAACTAGCATGTAAAACTAAAACAGTGTAATTAAAGACAATACAATATAAAACACGGGCTATAGATCGCCAACAACTGAAGGTAGATCACCATACTAGGAACCATGGGGACCTTACTTTTGCTACCTGCATGGAGCCTACCTGGATTTACACCATCCCTTCAGATGCTGGCGATTGTAGGATAATTTAGCCGAAATTTAAAGGAACAAAAATACTACGTTTAAAAACCTGGTACGTGAAAATTTTACTTTAAAAGTTTTTGGGATATTGAAATAAATGAAGTGAGTGAGTGAGTGAGTGAGTGAGAGCTGGGCTTGATGCAGATCTCAGACATTTTCCATTTCGGTGAAACCCACAAGCACAGGTATGGGACTGACAAACCTAAAAGCATAATTTGGGGTTTCTGGCATGCAAAAGGGACGCAACTCAATGAATTAAGGCCCTTATGATGACAAGGCTGGCTGTGCCTTGGGAGCATCAGAGTCAGAGAGTTTTACACCGCTATTAGCAACATTTGAGCAATATCAAGGTGGGGGACACCAGAAATTGGTTTCAAACATTGTACCCATGTGGGGAATCGAACCCAGGTCACGCATCGTGATGAGCTAACACTTTAACCACTAAGCTACCCTACCACCTGCGATGCAGGCTAGTTCATGCTATACAGACGTACAACATGGAGACAAGGTATTGGGGATATGTTCTAGTAGTTCTATAATGGATCGCATGAGGTACTAACAGTGAGTGAGTGAGTATGGTTTTACGCTGCTTTTTAGCAATATTCCAGCAATATCACGGCAGGGGACACCAGAAATGGGCTTCACACATTGTACCCATGTGGGGAATCGAACCCAGGTCTTCGGCGTGAAGAGCGAGCGCTTTAACCACTAGGCTACCCCACAGCCCCTGAGGTACTAACAACATATTCTGATATGAATTCATCATTGGAAGACAGGTACAGGAAGTCTACATCACTGATAGACCACACATCTCTGATCTAAGTAAGCGATTTCATGGATGATGATCTCACCTGAATATCAGTGAATGTATAAGACACCCTGATTCAAAGACAAAATAAAATAGTGTCAATAAAGGTTTCTTCCACAACACCAGCTGTTCCCGTTCTTGTCGTTCCTGTTCCCGTAGCGTCTTCATGTCTGTGGTTGTGCCTGTGGAGGATGTTGGTGCATCTACATCACCATTCGTATTGCTCTCCGATTTTCTCTGGCGTATACGTTTCTTTCCATCTTCCATAGTGCTATAGTTCAGCAATCTTGATATCTGAAGAAAATATTATTATTAAACTAATGAGGAATTCAGGACTTTTCAGCGAGGTTGATGTAACTATGGTAACTATTTTGATTATCATGATCATAATAAAAATGTTGTAGCAGGGTGAATGTAAAATCAGACAAGAAATGCATTTACAATACATAATACTATAGTAAATAATACCATACTATAGTACATAATACTATACAATAGTACATATTACTATAATGCTACATAATAGTGTGTGTTCTTCAACATTAAGCAATATTCAAGTTTTTACATTATAGTGAATGATACAAGACAAATCTTATGGATAACAACTTCTTGATTTACTTTACACAACTTTTCTGGGCTGGTTCTTGCCCTTTCGACAGGTGGATAATGACGAAGAGGCAAGAACCAGCCCAGAAACGTTGTGTAAAATAAATCAAGAAGTTGTTATCCATAAGATTTGTCTTGTATTACTACACCAACTTCTAAATGCCTCTGAAGAATTTCATATAGTGACTGAGTATGGTTTTACATCACATTTAGCAATATTCCAGCAACATTATGGCTGGGGACACCAGAAATGGGCTTCACACAATGTACCCATGTGGGGATTCGAACCTGAGTCTTCAGCGTGACGAGTGGACGCTTTCACCACTGGAATATTGCTAAAAGCGGCGTAAAACTAAACTCACTCACTCTTAAGACAACCATTATTTTCCTCTGTCAAAGGGAGACTACTGACTTTAAAGTCCAGTTTTTATTCTTGCCAAACTGGGAGCCTGATAACCATAGGTGACTGGGGACTAGTTTTCTTACCTGGTATCCTTACAATTCTCAAATAATCAGATCTCATATTCATAATCAAAAGGCTCTTTTTCAGGTGTCAACAAGCACTGTGTCAGGTGTCAACAGGCTCTTTTTCAGGTGTCAACAAGCACTGTGTCAGGTGTCAACAGGCTCTTTTTCAGGTGTCAACAAGCACTGTGTCAGGTGTCAATAGGCACTTTTTCAGGTATCAACAAATACTGTCACAGGTGCCCATGAACACCGTCTCAGGTGTCAACAGGTGGCATGGGTGTCAACAACTATTGTTTCAGGTGTCAACAAGCACTGTGTCAGGTGTCAATAGGCACTGTCACAGGTATCAACAAATACTGTCACAGGTGCCCACGAACACTGTGTAAGGTGTCACAGGTGGCATTGGTGTCAACAACCACTGTTTCAGGTATCAACAAATACTGTCACAGGTGCCCACGAACACTGTGTAAGGTGTCAACATGTGGCATTGGTGTCAACAACCACTGTTTCAGGTATCAACAAACACTGTCACAGGTGCCCACGAACACTGTGTCAGGTGTCACAGGTGGCATGGGTGTCAACAACCACTGTTTCAGGTATCATCAAACACTGTCACAGGTGCCCACGAACACTGTGTCAGGTGTCACAGGTGGCATGGGTGTCAACAACCACTGTTTCAGGTATCAACAAACACTGTCACAGGTGCCCACAAACACTGTGTCAGGTGTCACAGGTGGCATGGGTGTCAACAACCACTGTTTCAGGTATCATCAAACAGTGTCAGTGTCACAGGTGTCCATGAACATGATGAACACCATTTCAGGTGTTAACGAGCCCTGTTTCACACATTTCATGCACTACATGAGAATTCACATTTTTGTAAGTGCCATTAAAATTCATTCTGAGTGCATACATTAGAAATACTGAGATCACTTTCATTAAGCTAAAATCAGTGAAAATACACTTAGCACAAACTAACTGAATAAACATACACACACAGAAAATGAACATGCTAAATAAACAGAATCCAAACAATAAATTTCAATAATTAATGGAAAAACTTTCTTTGGATTGGCACTCGTGTTGGGAATTGGTTAAAATCTCATAATTGATGATTGGTTCATTACTACCGATCAATCATCAAAAATAATTGGTTAGCATCATTTATGAAATTTGTTAATACACATTGAAATAAGTAGAAAAAAATGTAGTTCTTCTGGGTTTTTTTGGCAAAATGTCACATCTTTAAAGGATCACTAGTATGTTAGGAACATAAATTTCTTGGAATCTTTAAGATAAATTCAATCATGACTTGAAACGAGCTTGTAGTGCTTACCAAATGTAACAGACAAAACCAACCATGTGAAAAATATTGTTAATGAAAACAAGTGTTCCAGAATTGTTTGTGTTCGATTATGAGAAATTATGATCAATTGCTTGGTCGTTTAGTCACTGCGACCAATCTTCGATTATTTCAATTAATCGGACCACCACTAATTGGCACACATGAGGCTGAAAGTAATTTTAAACAAGCATAGCAAAGATGCTAAATTATAATGATAATACATACAAATAAATATAGTAAGGATCATGAAAATGTTGGGGACGTTTAATCATAGTGAAGACGAAGCACACAATTTCATTAAAAAAATTCCAAACAATATTAATGTCCATGAACTCTTGTGCCATGGACATTTGGATGTGTTTTCACAAGCAACTGTTATAATGCGCATTCCTGACAAAATTATTCATGCACATAGCCAGAAACATTTCAGTATCTGGCAACAAACTACAGTCGTCCCTTGGCACAACACGGGTCTTGGGGTCAGTGGGTGACTCCTCGCATTATGAGACAACTGCATTATGAGAAACCCGCATTATATACATACATAACACAGAACAAAGCCAAGTAAAATTGTAACATTCCATGGACATAGCAGAACTATGTTTTCGGATGGCGGTGTTTACCCGTGCTATAACGCGATGCTTTGCATCACAGCAAACATCGTAAGTACTCAGGTAATGGCATGTCTCTATGATAAAGTTGTCTTTTATAAGTTATTCCGATGTTCCGCTGTTTGTGTGATTATTCAAGAAAATCCCATAATACAAGGACATGTCCGTTAAAAACTTCTTTTAATTTCGAACAGCACTGAATTTCGCTAGTTTACAACATGATAACAGGATTACCCTGAGTAAAACCAGCGGATTTGTTGGTATGCTATTTCTGATGACATAACATAGTGCAGGGATGGCAAAAGGAAAATCTATTTTCTGAAAACTTAATATTGTGTCATCGAGTTGAGGGTTTCTCAATGGGTTTAGACGATTCACAATGGAACAATTTGAAATAAAATCAGCAGAAATCCACAGATCAGCGGAAAATTGCCATCCCTGGTTGTGTGATCGCTGGGCAATTCATTTTAATGGGAGCCACAGATTACCCCACAGTATAACCAAATCCGAAGGGTGTTATTGCGAGAGATGTTTGTATTTGGACAAGTACTACTCAGAAGAAATGTATTGTAAGGAAAACATATTCTGCTGTATTACTTTCGTAATATGAAAGAACCAGGTATTTCTCTGAACAAGCTGAACAATGTATGTATATAATATGCATATGTGTATATATAATGGATTTCTATGGCGCCTGGTATCAAACTCAAAGCTGTTCAGTGGTGCATCACAAAGTCTACTTCGGATAACCCAAGCTGCTTGCTAGGTGCTAAAAGAAAATAGCCACATGACCTATCCCACCGGGTACCCATTTTCTGCTGGGTGAACAAAAGCAATTTTGAACAAACTCACGTTCCTAAAGTGAGACCACATGTATCACATGTGCTTTGTTGTGGGGAAGGACATGTCATCTACTTTGCCTTCATCTGTGATTATTGTGGTATAAAGATGGAAAACCCTGTTCATGAACAATATCATGAACCGCGTGATGAACAAAAATGAACAATGGAAAATATGATTCAAACCTGATGTAAGGCTCATCTCGTGGAACAATTCAAAATATTGATAGCAAATATCACGAAACAGGTCAAACCTTGTTGTCTACTTGTGTATGCAGCTATCAAACTGAACTTTGACCTCATCAACTGTTGACATGTTATTAAGTGTGTGATGTTCAGGTACACAGCTGTTGATGATGCAAGCCACATTTATCATGTTTATAACTGCGACAGATGGGTCATGTGTTGCATTCATCAATTCAGTCATCTAGTGCTGTGATTCAGAGATACATTGTACTATTAGTTTACAAAGTATGGTGGATGAACATGGTTACCATGGTTACTCGTGATCATGGCTGTTTCACATAATGGGACAATGGTCATAACTAGATGAATGTCCTGTTGTTGTAGTCAAATACCAGGGCTCCAGATAAATTTTCAACATCAGGAGTACGTACTCCTTACTGTTTCAATGCAGAAGTACTGGAAAACCTTAAGAGTACATTTAGAGTACTGAATGGAATTTAATGGAGTATCACTAATCTTGTGTTTCGTTTCATATATGCACCACAACATTGGTACTCTTGTGTAAACAGGTCAATAAACTATAAAACAATACTATTTTCAGATAAATATGATTCTAAGACCATACACCATTGCTGCAGTGCGTATCTGCTATGTTTTCTAAATTATTTCCTACCGTATCGTGCACATTTTATGTCCGTACATACGCCGATACCACCCTTATCTGGAGCCCTGAAATACTATAATGCCATTATGGTCAGAACAACCAAAATAATGTCCTCCCAGCGTGGCCACAACATGATTAATGTCCAGGGTCCCATTGTACAAAACAACCTTAGTGCTAAGGCTACCTTAAGTCTATGTTAAGGTATGGGAGTTACGGTCACCTTAGTGCTATGATCGTTTTGTACAACGGCACCCAGGGCCTGTTTCATGAAGCAACCTTTATTTAGGTTAACCTTAACTCCCATTCTTTAACACTGGACTAAGGTTACCTTAGTGACTTATCAGGGATTCACCTTGAGTCCTGTATTTGCGGGTCATTGTGACTCATACTCTTAATTTTCAGGGGTCCTGGACTACAAAATGGGGGTCCCAGACACCATAATATTATCATTAATACTATGTTGTAATATTGTTGTAATTCAGTTACTGTATTGTGTATCATGATCATCACATTGTTACAGTAATGAAATTGCAAATGATACCATAACTCAGCTAGTAGCAGACTCAGTGATAACTTATTGTTAGTATGTTACTTGATTGGAATTTTAACTAAAAGTGTTTGGACTTTTTCTGCGTCCATGTGGACGAGCTAATAAATTTTGTTCCGTCCACTGTCAATTTTTATGCGTATAGGACGCAGGAATCCCTGCTTATGATCACCTCAGTGCTTTGTGAAAGGAGGCCCTGATGTCCTGGCCCTGATTTCTCGAAACAAACTTAAGTTTTTACTCAAATTTCAAACTGAGTTTGACAATTTGAAACAGCTGAATATTGAACTCAGCTGCATTTTTTTAATAAAAAAGCCCAAAATACTTAAGTCTTCTATTCACCAAACTCAAGTTGTCTACTATGTTTGAGTTCAATATCGATTTCAGTTCATTCTGGGAAATGCATTTTCTCAAATTTGAGTAAAAATTTGAACTTAAGTCAAAACTCAGACTTAAGTTTGTTTCGAGAATTCGGGGCCAGGTTACACCAGTGTATGAAACAAATAAGGCCCATCCATCCGTCCGACCGACCGTGACAGGCTAGACTTCTGAAGGACAGACTACATTTACAGCTAGCCAGCCTGATGGTCTGGTAAATATGTTACATAACATGTTCCATACATCTGAGTAAATTCACCATATCATAAAATCTACTTTTCAAATTGAGGCTGCATTTAGACTTGACAATTACTGTTTGAACATTGAACTGTCGTATCGCAAGCTCAAAAAGACTGCACTGACATATATTATCACTAAAACAGCCACCATAACTAAAAATGAGTTATTATCTTTGGATTTTCTGGTCTGGTTAAATCCGTTTTGGGGCTGGTAACCTTTTGAAGTTGATGCCTGGCTGGGGTTTGGGTTTATATCACAGAATACACTGGTTACACCAAAAATGATGTCCTGTGACAATGGTTACAATAAGGCTATTGTCCTGATGTCAAATATTGTCCATACAACGTGGCAAAACACAGTGTAAACATGATCAAGCGTCCTTGTACCATCTTACAAAATTCAACATAGGCCCATTCTGTAATCAAGGTCACCAGGTTAGGCTATGTCACATAAGCAAGATCAGTGGGCTGCAGCAGCCAAATGCCATCTTAGCAACATTCCAGCATTGTTCACAAATGGTGTTTCAAAGTAACAGGACATTGGGTCCTGTAAGTTTCAGATGTCTGTCTGACCTATTGAAAATTCACAGGACCCATGGAATACAATTAAACACACATTTCAGATTAAACATTTCTTATAATTAGCATCAAAATTATTAACATACATTAGATTTATAAACAGCAAACAAGTGCCACATGTCACATATAAAAACTTCAGTCAAAGTCATTGTGAAATATACAGTCAGACACTGGGGCCGGCGGGTGGTAGACTTCTATCGGACTGTTGGCGAATCTGCCGGATTTGTCAAAGGGTCAGACGCTATTCGTGAACACTGTTCCAGCAATATTCCAGCAATATGAAGGCGTGGGACGCCATGAAAAGTGCGTCACAAAGTGTACCCATGTATGGAATGGAAACATGTTCCTTGGTGTGAAAAGTGAACACCTGACACTAGGCTACTGGCCTTTAGTTAGTAAGTGAGTGAGTTTAGGTTTACGCCACACTCAGCAATATCCCAGCAATATGGCGCGGTCTGTAAATAATCGAGTCTGGACCAGACAATCCAGTGATCAACAGCATGAGCATCGATCTGCGCAATTGGGAACCGATGACATGTGTCAACCAAGTCAGCGAAACTGACCACCCGATCCCGTTAGTCGCCTCTTACGACAAGCATAGTCGCCTTTTATGGCAGGCACATGGGTTGCTGAAGACCTATTCTACCCCGGATCTTCACGGGTCCCTTCAGTTAGTATGGCCACAAGAGACACTTAGAACCAAAACCAGGACAATGAAAGGCAAGTCTGTACTAAACTAAACACTTAACATAAAAAAGAAGCCCAAAAACATGACAAATTAGGGAGTATTTGTACAGGAATCAAAACACGCTTTCCTTCAACTGTCCAAAGGGATTCTTTCACACATGAACAATTGAGTTAATATTTATCGTCACATTGGCAATATTTCAGCCATATCATGACGAGATCCAATTTGACATTGATATAATGATAAGGAATAAGTAATATAAAACCTGTCGTCAAGGGACAGTCAAACAACTAGAGTATCACAGTTAGATTGAAAATTAGCATTTCATGTTAACAAAACGCAATATGAAAACGGGCTATAGATCACCAGCAACTGAAGGTAGATCACCATACTAGCGACCCACACATGAACAAGATACATTCCCTTTGAACGAACATTCAGTAGCAATGACTATGATCAAAGTAGGAGAAAAATTATGAACTATATGAAGCACAATAAATTATTGAAAACCAACAATTGATAATGGCCATTTTATTTTAAAGGAAAATGTTAGTAAAATTGGTAATTAGTGCTTTAATTTATCAAACAAAACTTTCTACATTACCATCATGTCCATGACAAACCAGCTTGCAAATGTTTAGTATCAGCTATGAATAGTCAACTGATTTAGGGGGGTTAAAGTTCAGCATAGCCACACCAAACATAATTAATAATTTATTTCAATACCTTTCATACTGATCAACGTCATTCTGAAATATGATTGAGTGAGTTTAGCTTTACACAATTTTAGCAATATTCCAGCAACATCACAGCGGAGGACACCAGAAATGGGCTTCACACATTGTACCCATGTGGGGAATTGAACCCAGGTGTTTAACATGATGAGCGAATGCTTTAACCACTAGGCTACCCCAACGCCCCTCTGAAATATGACTTCAGCTACTCAAAATATAGACAACATTGACAAGACATTTGTTTCAATCTTTCTTTTACTTCTGTAGTTAGTATATATATCAGGGGTGGAAATAACCCATTGCCCGACGTCCAGTCCAGTGTTTTTTTCTGTCGGGCAAGAACATTTGTATATCACGGTGTCCAGTTGACATTCCAATGTTAATTATGTTGTTTATTTAAAAAATCACCAAGAAAATCGGCCGGTATAGCGGAAAAATTATCAGGGCAAGTGATTTTACATGTGCCACTGTACCGGAGTACACTAGCAATTTTAAAGTATTTTCCACCCCTGTATATATATATTTGTGATGGCTTACATTCATCATGCCGAAAGACATTCGATTCCACACCTGGGTACAAAGTGTCAAGCCACTTTCTGGTGTCCTCCACCTTAATATTCCTGGAATATTGCTAAAAGCAGCGTAAAACCTAACTCACTCACTCAGTCGAAGGTCCAACTGAATGCCCTATGGGCATTACTGACAAACTTTATGGTTAATAACACAAGGAATTCCTGCTTGAGGTTCAAGAATCTGTATTTGATACTCATGAAATAAAACAAGTTGTTATCCACAAAGTTTGCCAATATCGTACTTCCCAACTTCTAAAATACCAATCAAAGAAGTTACACAATGGGCACGTTTCACTGATGTACTACTGATTAACTATTCTAATCACTGACACCATGGACACAGATGGTTAGAATTGCAATAGTTCATGTAAATTATTGTAATGACTGATATCATATCAAAATAATTTCATGATAGATTTGTCAAAAATAACTAAAATTCTTCATAAATACACGTGTGACAGGTTATTTCCATTTTACCATCTTTTCTGTTTTGTTCAGCTGTTTAATAATTCAAATTTCTACTTTTTCAAACAATTCCATGTCTGTGTTTCTGGTGCTTACAAATCTTTGCAACCTTTCACCATAATAACCCAGAAATATTTTTCACCATGCATATTCCAAGTAAATCCCTTTGTGACACAATGCTCCCGGAAACCTCTAAAACCAAAATTTCAGATTCATTTCACTCTACCTCTACATTTGATTTTGCTAGTCTGAAATAAGAAAACAAAGAACATTTTGAAAAGCTAAATCTGACTCTTAATAGTTTTCAATATTTCATATCAACACAGACTCTAAGCATAATCGTACATGCATTATTTCTGTTTTTCCAATATTTCTAAAAGTTATCATAACATATTAGGGATAGAGAATCACACACGAGTGCCCTTTCATATCAGATATCATATCAACACTCATTGATAAGTATTGTCACTATTAGCATGATTAGTGCTGTGGTGTTTATGCAAGGTCAAGGGTGATTTGGGCTCACTGTTGTTAGAAGATATACTGGATATGGGATCTAAGCGATCAATGTAACATTGTACCAAATGGAATTATGGCTGAACTAACTGTGTACCTGATCCTTATTCGCTTTCACAATTATGATCGTAGACAAAATTTAAATAGACAAAAAAACAATTTAAATAATGCTAAAAGATTTATAATCGGAATTATCGTTGATGGTAATAATTACTAATGATCATCAACAAGAATTTTTTATCACTTATAGTATTGTACTTTAACTGTTGTTATGAAATAACGTTTTAATTCACTCAGACAATACACAGTGTTAGATCTTTATTCATCATGGACTGCTTCTAAATTATGTTGAAGACTCAGAGTGTTTCATTAGTAATCCAAGCATAAATATGTCGCCACTCACCAGTGATGTGAAATATGTTAATTTCTTTCAGATTTTGTTTCCATTTTTGCTCAAGGTTACTCCTGCAATATTTACCGATAATAAATTGATATTCAGTTAACGATTATCAATCTCCATGATATATATTGATAACAAGACCTAATGATTTTGCATGGTTTTCCAAGAAAATATAGCTGTGTAGAGTGGGGTAAAACTATGAAAAGTTTTTCCTATTGTAACAGATATTATACAAGATCTCACGTAATTGACCTTGGGTGCGTAATAAGCAGTGTTGAGGTATGATAATGATAGTATGGGTACCCAGGATACTTGCTCAGGATTCATCACCACAGGTATATAACTTACCCTTCTCTAGAGGGGGAAGAGGGCAGTGGTGTAGCCTAGTGGTTAAAGTATTAGTTTGTCATGTCAAAGACACAGGTTTGCTTCCCCACATGGTTACAATGAAGCCATTTTCTAGTGGCCCCTGCCATGATGCAACAGGAATATTGCTAGGGTAAAACCATATGGATTCAATCACATGCCCAAATTAATATCATTTTAAAATCAGCTATAATTACATGATGGAACCACAATGCACCCTCTGAGTGTTTACGGTGTGTACCAGTTGTACCATTAGATTATACAGGTCAGTCCGGTAATTCTGTGCAGCTGCAATAGCGTACTTCCTTATCGAGGTAAACATCGTCTGCTACCACATTTATTCTTGAAATCGGGACATTTTTGCAAGGGACGGGCTTTTAATCACTAAAGGTAAGTAAATAACAGTAATTCACATATAAATCGACAGTTTTTCTTCAGACTTTTAACCTTTTTCTTCATTATTCATAATTGGATTTCATATGAAACACTCTTCCTTACATTGATGAAGTGATTTTTGAAAATAATCTGGCCCTAATACGCTTTCATACTTTGGGATCTCCAACTGGATGTTATGCGCATCAGTAGCTGCGCAGAATTACCGAACAGCAAGCAATGTCGTCAGAACGTCGGTAAGGTCAACCGTATGGCATAATGCAACGTTTGAATCTTATAGTCGTCAATAAAACTGATATTTTCTAGGTAAATATGATGCATACCAGCATGTTTAGTCACGTATACCACAAAAAATAAGAGACGTTAGTTGCCGTGTTGCAATCGATGTGCTTAGGTGCGCGGAATTACCGGACGGCATTGTATATGTTTTCAGACAACATACGCTTTCGGAGGCAGCTGTAACGAGGCGTGTTTCATCGCACACAGACATTCTAGAGTACAGTTGCGACATGTTGTACAATTATTCATACTATAATTGATAAAATAATAGATCTTCCTACCAATCTGAAACCCCCCCAAAACTATGATACACCAGAAAACAATGTGGTGGTGTTTATGGTGATGCACATGTTCAAAACACTCTACAAATGTTAGTAATATTTTTATTGGTTACCAGGGTCGTTAATTTTATAATGACGTATTGCCTGAGGTCCACTGATTATAAATTACATTTCAGCATGGTATCTGATGTTGAAGAATTCCATCACAACTATTGTTTTGGTTCATGTTTTCCCATGTTTTCCAGTTTTACCTTAGTATTCTTAGAGATGTATTAACTGGGTACAATTACATTACTTTTTTGATACTTTACATACAGGTCTCGTTTTAGTACTGGAAACATAGACACTTGTCAAAACTCTCACAACAGTGATATGAAGTAATGAACCTGTTAGTCATGCAAACCGAAATACTTGAACAGGTGACCGGCAACCTACCAACTCGGCCTTGCGGCCTCTAGTACTTAATCCCCTCTTCTTTAATTTCTTTCTTAATTCAATCACTGTTAGGTTTCCCAAATTGCCATTGTCCTCCACCATTCTGCTACAACAAATTTAGGTGCGTAGTCAGTTAACAAACAAATTTAATCTACATACTTTGTGTAACGTGTCCTTAAGCTTCTTAGGAACCGGAAGTTGATCTGACAGGTAGAGCTGGGCCACACGTACTGAAGTGAGTTGCGTATCTAGTTGAACTCCCCGCAGAGTCCCTGTAGAGTAGGAATCGCTCTGCAACGAGAAATCTTGTGGGTTTTTTAGTTATTGTTGTTTCTGTGAAAGCCTTATGCTTCCACTAACGTAGCAAAATTATTTTTTTAACCGAAGCTTCTCGTTATTTCAATTATTTGTATATTTTTCTCGGATGTTCATGCTTTTGTATGAGATACTTCTATCATAATAAATTTCGTAATTTCATTTATTTGTTCCTAATATGGAGCAGAGACCATATTTTTTTTATTTATCATACGGTCTTTGCTTCGAGTCCATAAAAATATTTGAAATTTCGATTTTTACTTCTTTGCTTCGATTATTCTGTCGGTATTTCAATTATCTGCCTGAAATTCCTATTTTTTCAGTTTGTTTTGGATTCCATACCGTACGTTTTATTGTCAGATTGTGACGTTCTCTATTCGAACAGAGAAAAAAACTTTGAATTCCGTGAGGGGTGGATTGGGAAAAAGGTCGGACCGTTCTTCCGGGGGCGGTGGGGTAGCCTAGTGGTTAAAGCGTTTGCTTGTCACCCGGAAGACCCGGGTTCGATACCCAGCGTGAAGACCGTTTCTGGTGTCGCCATATGCCGTGATTGGGTGGTCAGGCTCGGTGACTTGATTGATTTGTTTGCTGTTTAACGCCGCACTCAGCAATATTCCAACTATATGGTGGCGGTCTGTAAATAATCGAGTCTGCACCAGACAATCCAGTGATCAACAGCATGAGCATCGATCTACGCAATTGGGATACGATGACATGTGTCAACAAAGTCACCGAGCCTGACCACCCGGTCCTGTTAGTCACCTCTTACGACAAGAAGACCAATTCTAACCCGGGTTCTTACGGGTTGACAAATGTCATCGTATCCCAATGATTAGATCGATGCTCATGCTGCAGGCTCACCGACTTGGTTGAGATCTAGACATGTCATCGTAACTCGATTGTGTAGATCGATACTCATGCTGTTGATCACTGGATTGTCAGGTCCAGACTCCATTATATAGCTGGAATATTGCCGCGTGCAACGTTAAACAACAACAACAACGATAACAATAGTGTCACTGATACACAAAATATTTCTGAGATGAAACCATTGTTCAGTTAATATATTCTCCCACTTTAAAGAATTTTAAAAAATCACCTGGTGTCCTCTCTATCATTTATTCTACCATGACCACGTGGAATACTCGAATTTGATTGGACAATCAATTTTTTTTAATACTATTGGGATTGAAAAAAAAAAAAACCCAACAAAAATGCGTCTGATTTTATGACCGCTTCAGTGCGCACCAACACTACCGCACAAGGTGCGCCAACACGGATGATATTAACACACCGGCGTCCTCCCAGTTGTGAGAACTCCCAGTTGTGAGACACATTAATTAATGGTTCAGTGGACATAGGTGGTGTTTCCACATCCGTACAATGAAAGTGGGATCAGCCCAGCCCAGTACCCACAGGAGGCATAGTTCATTGATGAGTTGATTAATGAAATAGATTATCAAAGATTATATTTACACAGAAGAAATAGTTCATTGAATATTTTATTTATTCAGAAGAATATGTAATTATGACAACACATTTTTATTGACTATTATGAAGTTTGAAAGTCATTTTGGTTTAAACATATTTTATTATTATTTATGAAAATGAATTGGGATTGGTGAAGTATTACTGCTTATGTTAACATCGCTCCCATGCAACATAACATATAAAATGAAATGGAGGATGTGACGTCATCGATATTGACTATTGCATAAATATATTTTTAAGTACATATAAATATATACAGATTACATCAAAAACAAAAATTCTCTAAGTAGTCATAATTAGAGACTTACAGTTGTGTGTGTCTTACAAGCTATTGTAGCAATATAAATCAATCACGAGAAGGTTGCTGAGTTAATTTCAGTATTTCCCTGTGAAAATTGGAAGGTTGTGTCTTGATGATATAATCGTGGACGGATTCAACTATTTTCCGGTTTACACAAGGAGTAAATTCTTTGTTTCCGTTCAAAAAATTATCCAGGTTATAACAAGTATTTGATATCCACAAGAGCAACATGCTCTGTCTATTAAATGTCTGTTATACGTATCGGCGTTTGGGTCGCTAGATCCGAGCCTGAGGCAGCAATGAACGATTTGACAAGAACAAGAGCCATAATTAAGATCAATATAAATCTTGTTTTTGGTTTTTGTAATTAGGTTTTAAAATTCTTTGAGACTGCATGACTCTTTGGAATTTGTTAGGGCATTCCATAAATTTATGGTGTCGGGTAGAAAGGGTTTGGCATAAGGGGCATTTCGACTGTAAATTTCAGAGTTATTTCTTAAACTATAGCTTGTAGTTTCGGAGACAGAGTAAATCTGAGTAAGTAAATTAATATCTCTTTGATCACGAAGTTACCTACACAAAGTGTTTAATTATTAAAGACATTTACCTGAGTATGTTAATCAGTTTATCTTATAAAGTTTCATTAAGTTACCTCCAAAAGATTCAGTTACATAGCAAATCAGTAATTAGCTTGGGTGAATCTATTCTATCAGGCGGGGGAGTATGGTGTGTTTTCGTTGTTAATTGCCGACTCCACTGTCTCATAACTGGGAGTCTCACAACTGGGAGTTCTCACAAATGGGAGCAGACCAACACAACAGACGGATGTTTTGCAATCGGAATTTTTACTGATGTATACAGTGTGGGAAATAGTTTCCATTTTTTCTCTAGCCAGTTGCACTAGCCTGAAAGTTACTAGCCCACAAAAAAATTCACATGCCCGAAATTTGAATGTAGAAACTAAGTAAACGATTACAAAAATAAATGAGAATAACATTTTGTCGGCATGACACGGGTTTTGTCATTTAGCTGCTAATATAATGAACATATTTATCAGGCCATAATCTTGCATGATTTAAAAGTGTGTTATAACTTTACAAGTCGGAGAGATATATTTACCAACTGACCCCATGAAAATTCACTAATCAGTCGGGCCAGTGACTGTAGAGATTTACTGGCCCGACTGGATTTTTCTAGCCACGAGCTAGCGGGCCAGTGGCTATTTCGCACAATACGGGCCATGCAAAATGTGAATCAAAATCCCCTCAAAATCTATGAACCCACCCCCACCACCACCCACCACCACCACCCCCACACACACACCCGATAAGTTTTAAGCATAATTTGTAATATAGTCATGTACAAAGTTGCTGCCCCCTACCTCCCCAGAACAAATTGGGTGATCCCCCGACCCCCACCATTTACAATCATCACCCCGCCCCGCATTAAATTATGTACGGTCATAAATTGAACATGTCGTGTGCTCACCACATTTCTTTTTTGATCAAAGAGAGCCACGTTTTCCTGACAAATACAGAGCTTACAAACTACAGCAAGATATAACATTGACCCCGAACACCGACGTCAAAAACGTCGATGGACACAACAAGTGTTGCAAAGCTGACAGAACAGAAACAGACTAGAGGGTCATGTTCACAGTGGCTAGTTTTTCTGTGTAAATGGATGAGGTCATGACGGCCGACGAGGAAGAGAACGAAGGTCACGTTTTTACGTTCAAGACGTCGAACCATTTAGTGCCTAGAGCACTGTTTGGTGTTTAACGCCGCACTCTGCAATATTCCTGTTGTGTGGCGGCGTCTGTAAATAATCGAGTTTGGACCTGGCAATCCAGTGATCAACATCACGAACCTCGTGATAAACAATTGGGATACGACGACGTGTGTCGAGCACGTCAGCAAGCCCGACGACCCGATTCCACCAGTGACATTGCATTTGACTATGACTGACACTGCAATTGACTATGAATGACCACCCGATCCCGTCAGTTGTCTCTCAGTCGGAGTATTGTCTGTCAATTCATGCCATTCCAGGATAAGGATACACCACACACCCCAACCACATGGGATTCACCCGGCACACGGACTGCGATTATCTAGCCATTCTAGCCATTCTGTTATGATAAACACCCCGGACTCACTGCCCACCATCTTTGATCAAGTCATACTCCTCTCGAGAGCTTTCTAGCTGGCGTATGAAAGAAATTCAATCCATTGTTAATTTCAGTTTTACACTTTTTTCAATGAATGTTTAAAGATGACTGACTATTATAACATGAGCAGTCATTCTCAATTAAAGTGGACAACTGCAGTCGTCAAGTTTGCAAGATGCGATTCATGAAACCAAGAGCACTTTTAGTGTAATACAATAATAATAACAAGTAAAGTATAGGAAACATGAAAAGCAAGAAAGCTAACCAGTCATTTAAACAAATGCTTAACATAACTTGACATACATGGGTAGGGGGTACGGTTATTCTGGTGTCGGTCAGTGACGTATACCCGTCAATAAAACCCCTCCCACGAGTCGATTGTAGTTAAGTTTCGAAAGCAATCAGGAACTGTCTATGAAAAAAACCCATCAATTACGCATGTGAAAACATACACAATTGCAATGAAAGCAATACACAATTGTCGACAGCACGTGTGCAATTTACGTTCTGTCAGATTGTATTACCCATAACTAAAACTAGAGACTGTTAAAATATTTAAAACAATGTGTTATTTTTGGGATTGATATGATATAGTTTACATAGCAAGCATGTTATGTCTACGAAACATACAGGTTAATTGAACACAGACCAGTATTGTTCGTTTTAAACACCGATTTTTTTAGAACGTAATCATACGTGACGGTGATGATATTGTGACGTTGCTACGAAGCCTTATTTGACCTTTGGTTAGTTTGAAACAACATTTCGTTCTATAGTTTAATACAACATCAACGCAGAAACACAATCGTAGAACGCGGATGATTATTTCAGATAAACAAAATGTAATTTACGTTTTGTATTTTACGTTTAATTGGC